TTGCCTGCATGTGTGTTATAAGTGCCATTCCTGTGTTGTGCAATGCCCGCAGAGTCAAGAGGGTGTTGGGTTCCCCTTGAACTAGAGTTATGGATGGTTGTTAGCTGCCATGTGGGTGATGGGAATTGAATCCCGGTCCTCTTTAAGGGCAGCTGGTAGTCTTAATGGCTGAGCCATCTCTCCAACCCCATGAGTCAATATCTTAAACATGATTAGGTGTGGAATTAAGGGCTTACTGGGATGAGCTCTGCCCTAAAGTCAATCTGAGGGCAAATCTCCCTTCTCCTGGCAAACTTATCTTAGAAGAATCAACCAGCAGTACAGTAAATAATTGATCTCCAATATGTGCTTTTAACCATAGTAGATGTTGCATGTACTTGAAGTATTTTGTGTGGAAATGTGAAGATTTCTGATAACTTTCTGAAGACATTTTCACAGTGACTAAGCTTCTTGTGTTGGGCTCCTTCTGTCTTTCTTTGTTAGAGATTAAGGATACTTTAAAGGTCCCTGTGGTCCAAGATAACAGGAAAGACAAAGGCATGCCTTGACTATGTAATTTAGCAAGGGAATCTGTTTGGGTTTTTACCCTTTGGGCTTGCTGAAAAGCTTGAAATAATTAATTGCTTTATTTGCAGCCTGGGGAGTTTTCAAAGTCTCTATGGAGCCCAGAAGGAATGATCAGCCACATGCACTGATCGCCTTGTTTATTAAGACTCACAGTCTCAATCTTCTCTCTTTCTCTCTCTTTTTTCTTTCTTTCTCTCTTTCTTTCTTTCTTTCTTCTTTCTCTCTCTCTCTCTCTCTTTCTTTCTTTCTTTCTTTCTTTCTTTCTTTCTTTCTTTCTTTCTTTCTTTCTTTCTTTCTTTCTTTCTTCCTCTTTCATATTTCCTCTGTTATTTATTTGCTGCAGGCGTGTGTGTGGGTCTGTATAGGTATAGGTACACATGTGTGCTGGTACACATGAAGGCTGGAGGACAACCCTTTGTTCTGTTCAGCAGTTGCTGTCTGTCCACTTTTAGGGGGATCAGGGTCTCTCACTGCCCTGGTGCTTGTCCATTTGTCTGGGCTGACAGGACAAATAAGCCCCAGGGATCGCCCTGCCTCATCATCCTCAGCGCTGGGATTGCAAGTGCACCCCAGCAACGTGATATTTTACTCGTGAGTTCGGGGGGCACATTGCAGTTCCACTTGCTTGCAGGGCAAGTGATTCAGCAAACTGAGTTACCTCCCTAAACTTCAGCTGCTTTTTCTTAAGACAACAGACATATTGTACTCTAGATGTGGTACCGCTTTACTCTGTGGTATTTCCAAAGTAGAATAAAAAGTCACAGACCATTTTAATCCATATTATTTATGTCAATTTTAATCTACCTTTTTTGTTTCTCTTCTTAGGCACGCCTCCACTGAGAACCTATTGCACTTCAAAGGGTGTATGTGTATTTGAGTTGAAGAGTAGTTGAACTCAATCTCCAGACTCTATGAAAAGGACACCAAACTTTTAGGTGAACCATCCCCAAGGAACGGTACAGAGAATGGCATGACAGAGCAAGGAGCTCATCCACAGCGACATTTTATGATCCAACCACAGAATTCAAACAGAAACCCATGAAACTTTCTTTAGTGATAGAAGATCAGTGGAGGAAGCACTCAGAAAGAAAGCCTCCACAGAAGTGCACATGGGTGACCATCACGAGCTCTGTGTCTTTTCAGGAAATTGTCCTACTGGGGTGCTTGTTTGATCCTGTCCACAGACTTATCCAAGCTCAGTCTAAGACACTAGTTTCTGCTTCTGCAAATCTAGGAGACTATTGGAGGAGAAGGCAAGCTAGTGCTTTCTGCTGCTCATTATGTCTGAGTGCTCTGTGTGAACTGCACATGTGTGTGTGTGTGTGTGTGTGTGTGTGTGTGTGTTCTAGATGCTTTTTCTTCCTAAATATGGGGTATGCACTTTTTTAAAAGCAACAGTGAGAGAAAAAGAAGTTTTACTATCTTTATAAGAAAGGCAAAGCTAAGGGGTTTATAGAGAACCACAGATGTCTAGTAGGCATGGGTTCTAGGGCTCTTCAAGCTAAGCTGACCTCGAAAGTCACAGAGCCGTATGCAGGCCTTGCAAGACATCAGGAGCAGTAGGAGTTCTGTCTCAGAGGAGTCAGAGAATCTCTTCAACTGTGTAGAATTTTCTGCCTAGTGGTTTAAACAGGGTAGCCTCAAGAACCTGTTACACACAGTTGCCAACTGAAACATAAGAAATTATTGTTAAAAATATGTTATGTGTTTTTTTATGTGTATGAGTGTATTACCTGTGTGTATGTAAGTGCACCTGTGTCATGCAATGCCCACAAAGGTCAGAAGGTGGAGGTGGATTCCCCTGGAACTGGAGTTATCCATCATGTGTGGATGGAAATCAAACTCAGATCCTCCACAAGAGCAGTCAGAAGCCAGTGCTCTTAACCACTGAGCATCTCCCCAGCTCCGAGTTTTGTTGTTGTTGTTGTTGTTTGAGAAATGTTTGCACAGAGCCCAAGCTGGATGTGGAACTGGCCATGAAATTGAGAATGACCTTGAATTTTTTATCCTCCTGCTTCTGTCTCTCGAATGTGGGGACTGCAAGTGTGCACCAGCATGCACTGTTTTATTTGTGGTGCTGGGGATTGACCTGAGGGCATCCTATGTGTTAAGCAAGTACTCTACCAACTGAGTTACATACCCAACTCCAGGAAATGGATATGTTTTAAATAAGGGTCAACGTTGCTTGGAGTGAATTTAAAGTATCTTTGAATGCTTTAAGTTTGAGACGTGTGTTCTTGCTGAGGTCTGCTAAGATTTTAAACAGTTTTTTTTTTCATATTTGTTTTGTTATTGTTATTTATATAGAGGTTGTTTTGCCTTGGCCTGTATTTATTTCAGGTCATTATCTCCGGAGCAAGTCCCAGGAAAGCACAGAACTTATGTAACTCAGTTGTGGGAAGGAAGAAGATCAAGGGCAGCCCCCAGCAGGCCTGGTCAATCCTGGTATCAAGGTCACTCAGCCACCAGTGTCTCAAAGGGGTTTCCAGGCCAGAAGCAATTTCTTTGTGTTTGTTTAACAGTAACAGTGACATTTCCTCAACTCCCTAGAAAATATGTAATTTCTACAGTGACCAACTCCATCAAATGTCATGTACAAGTACAAACTGGACTTAAACTATACGTCTATGTTTCTCTTACCAACCTTGTTTTTTTGTTTTGCAAGTAATTCCTGTGAGACAGAGTGTGCTCACTGTGTTGTTTAGACAGCATTTATTTTTACTCCTGCCAAAAGAAGGCTAAAAACTAGCTGAGAAATTATTAGCAATTGGTGGCTACTGGGCAGGGAGAGGCAGTTTAAAACAGGGATGTAACCACTGGTATGTTGCTCATGCTCCTGTGAACGGTCCTATACCTATGCATAAACAGTCATTAGTCACTGGACTCGGTGGTTTAATAGAAAAGGACATGAAGTTGGGAGTACAGCACAAGAGTCTCAATGAAGTGGTAACATAGGGTCTCGCTCTGTCCCTCCCACCCTCCCTTCCTCTCTCTCTTTCTCTCTCCAGGCTTACTTTTCCCTCCTGGTCTCTAGCGCACAGACTACAGCACCTGATAGAGCAGAGCCTTGATGCCACTTGTTTTCCATCTAATTAACTCCAGTGAACAATTTCATGTTTAGGGAGAAGTAGATGGCTTAAGAAACATTTTCCAACCCATTTATCATCAAAGATGAAGCATTTAAAGCCGGAGATGCCATTTTACACAGAGGTGATCTCTACTGCTTACAAGAACAATTGTTACTACAAACATAGCTGTTCCAACTGCTTTTGAAACCCAGCCCATAGCAATGCTATACAACACCACTTATGTTCTAATTGCACTAGGCTGCATTTTTATTTTCAGAAAATAGAGAGCTAACACCATTGGGAATAGAAAGAAATGCACACTCTTTTGCGTCATCTTAAGATCTTTATTATTAACTCATTGGGAGTTTCAAAGCATGTTATAAATCTGCATAGAAAATTAGAGATATACATGATATGTGAATAGTGACTGCTCTCGCCACTCTGTGTGAAAAACAGATAGCATTAGAGAATGTTTAATCAGGCATCAAATCCTCATTCTGATCTTGTCAAGGCAGGCATCATAGGAGCAAAGGAAATGGGAAAAGCACAGCACAATACACCCACCTTCTAAGGAAAAAAAAAAACCTAAAACTAAATCTGGTTGGGAAAGCATTGCTGGTGGTCATGGTGATTATTTTCAGGCTTGTAGAGTGTAGTGTTCTAACATAGTCAAGTAATTGTTGTTACAAAATCTAAAACTCTCTTTCTCTGTCTCTGACCCTCTCTGTCTCTCTGTGTAATTTAAGTAAACAAACACTCCATTGTTAAAGCAGTACAGATAAAATGTTACTAGAATCTCACATTCTAAGTTTCAGGAAAGTTTTTCAAATTGTGACCTGAATAAATCTCCTATTTATTAGCCAATAGAAATGAAAGGTTTGTACCCGTGCATATCAAAAGGTAACTGGATTGACCCTAGGCAATAGGATGGAGGTAAAGGAAAGAGGGAGGGAGGGAGGGAGGGAGGGAGGAGAAAAGAAGAAAATTACAAAATAAATAAAAGAACTCTTTATATATCCACCCATTTTACCTAGCTGGGTAATTTTAAACTGTGTATTCAATTCACTTGTGAGATTAAA